CGTTAGGTATTGATGCTGATATAAAGTGTGTTTTCTTATTCTCCTTGTTTGCTTTTGCAAAATCTATGAAGAGGATCGCTTGTTCGTTCATTTTTTCTGACACAGCATCTGAGAAGTAAAACTCACACGGCTCGACATCCTTCCCATCTTCTTCTGTTGGTTCTGTTAGCTTTGCAGTTGAAAGAGCCTTTAAGTGACTCCGCAAGCAGGACAGATACAGCTCCTCCTCACCCAGTGATGTAAATGCAAAGCACACTACATTCTTATCTCTGTTTTTGAAGATTTCACTTTGAAGCTCGCTCTTTGATGCCAGAATTTTTGTGTCTTCCATCATATCAGTGTACACTTGGAGCAGGCTGATTTCTTCCTCTTTGCAGTCCAGCCATTCCTTAAGTTTATTGCTATTGAAAGAAGACTGTTCCTTCTTTGTTAGGATGTTTGCAAGCACACATTCCTCTGTTCCACCTCCACGAATTAATGGTAGAATGCTTGACAAAGATCTCTGAAACACTGATTTGTACTCCAAGCACATATCCTTGAAGGATTTTACCTTTCGTCCAATCTCAGGAAAGCATGAAATAACCTTTCTCTTTGTAATATCATTGCATTGCATTTCTATTTCATTGAAGTCCTCTATCACGCTCTGTGTTTCATTTATTAATCTGACACTGATCTGACGCACTATTCTGGCAACAGAAGAATCTAAGATTTCCAGGGGGAGTAACCACACCCTGACTGGCACAGCGTTTCCCCCCTTTTCACCCAGCAGAGCTGGAAGTGTTGTATATACTTTTACAGCATCCTGGAAGGAAACAGGGTTCTGTTTCAGAGCAAAGTCCCCATAGAATTTACAAGACAACTTATCAATAGTAGCTCTGTCAGTGTCTGTCAGCTCTAAGGAAGCCTCCTCTTCGATCGACAATTTTGGTATTTTCTTTATCATCACTTGCAGGTTCCCCTCAATGTTTTGTTGGTCCTCGGTTTCTGAAACTTCTCGATCAAAAACAAAAAATGCCTGAGCACCGTACAGCACTGCTGTTACCACATGTGTCGCTATTCCCTTCTCAAACACATATGGGTGTTTAACATTTCCCCGTCCAAGGTGACTCATAGACAGCTGCATAAAGTTTGTAGTTGTTTTATACTTCAGGGTGACACGTGCCTGTTTTTTTGAAGCCTTTTTGTCCTTAAGATATTTGGCAGATCCACCTACCTCAACCAGTCCCCCTACGAAACTCGCTTTTAGTGAAGCATCAACATCCAAAGCCCATGCCTTATCTTCTACAGAATCAGATGCAATGACATCAAATTCCGTGTTGTGCTGAATTCTTTCATCTGAATCTTTTTTAAGGTCTTCAAGATCCCACATTGTAATTCCTGCACAGGAAAATAATCATGTAAGTGGTTCAAATAAAATGTATTTCAATTATGGAGCCAAGAATAGATTTTTCATTAAATTAAACTAAACTCTTATACTTTTTTCCACAATTACTTTCTATATTATTTGATGAAGTAAATAAATCCCATAAACAAGGATGATTTTTTTCTCCGGATAAATAATCTTTTTCATCACAAATAACTATAAAGTAGGAATATACTTTTTTGCTGGGTAACTTCTGTGATATCAATGATTAACTGGACAAAAACAAGCTTATATCCATTGTTGAAATGTGTATAATTATTTTTGATAACTTTTGTAAATGCAGTTCTACTGTAGGTTTAGTTGTGGTGCAACATATTTAGTATTTGATGTCAGGTAATTCTAAGTAACTCTGTATTTGGTAGGGCTGGGCGGTGCATCGAGATTTTAAAACATACCAGGGTACAAATAGAGTGAGATATGTGTTGAGGAGGGATCTTTTTTATCAAGTTAAATGAAGTTTGAAATGGAACATTATTTAAAAACTTTT